GGGGGGGGGGGGGGCGGCAGCGCGGAACGAGTACACGACACCCCCCTACGGTACGCACGCGGGAACAACAACACTACTCTACGCGAAAATAAACGTGAGGCACCACACTCACCGTGTACAGCGCGGGCAGCATGGCCTGGTTGATGGGGAGGTGTTGGGTGAGGTCCCCCTCGGGCACACGGTTGAGGAAGGTCGACGTCACGTGCCCGTAGAAGCTGCCCCCCCGATCGCACACCACGAGGTACGCGGAGAACAGGTCGTGGTGTGCGATGGACATGTTGAACGAATCGTGGCCCGTGATCTGCCATTCACGTGCGAGTGTGGCGCACAGGCGCCGTGAGTCATACATCGAAAACCGGCACGACGAAGTAAACCGCAGAAAGCGCGAACCATGTACCGTACCATTTCATTATGTCGAAACCGGCACGACGAAATAAACCGCAGAACGCTCGAGCATTAGTAATAGTTGCTCGCTGGCGGTATGGCCGTGTGCGCGTGCCGCATGAGGTGTGTGAACCGCAGAAGATCGCGTGTGTGTGTGTCCGCGGTAGCTGGCATGCAACATATGACGATGTAGTACGCCACTATTCGAGCGAAAATTGAACAGACTACTAACGTGAGTCTTGTACTTTCCTGCGTGTTCAGGCAGCAATAACCACCTTTTTCGTCCAGGTCGAAGATGTCATGTCCGTGCTACACTGCTGTCCACGACGTCGCAATAAGGTGACAAGGTGATGGACACAACTGGACTCGCTCACGCTACCTGCCACAAATCTTCGCGACAGCAGAAATGCTACCACTAAACCAGAAAACGGCATCGTTCGCATCCTCGGTAGCCGGCACCCCGTTTCACCCTCTTCGCCGCGGCACTCTTCGGACCGTACGTTGGTAGAAGCAAAACTGGACCAAAAACTAACTAACCAAACCCCCGAACCACTACTGCTGCTGCTGCTGCAGTGGTGGAGACACGCTCCTGTTCACTACCTCACCTCGAAACGGCCGGCCGAAGGAGCCGCGCACACCGGAGGCGGATCGTCCGCTTCCAGATCGTTCATCTCAAGCAGGGTGGTGAAATACTGAGATGTCACGCTCTCCGCCACGACGACAAGGTAGGCGACGCCGTTGCTGCAAAAACGAACAAAGATCGGAGACGGATTGAGTCGATTCGGGTAGGGGGCGAATACCACTCCCCCCCACTCCCCCCTCAGGCGCGTGCGAAATGCTCGGGACAAACGTCTGACTGCTGTAATCCCGCGCGGCCGTTCCTCTTCGCCAACGAGGACGTGGGGACGGCCGCATGTCGGCAGTGCCGGAGACTCAAAAGAATGGTTGATTGGCATGC